GGGCTGGAGGAGGTTACAGAGATAGGGAGGGGGTGTAGGGGCTGGAGAAGGTTACAGAGATAGGGAAGGATTTGAAAATATGGTTGTGAAGTTTGAATGATTAAAAATAAACATTGCTCACCTGATGTACTTGTCCCAAAGGAACTGGTTTTGCACCCGTAATATGCTCAAGATGACGAATTTAGTCTCCAGCATGGTCTTGTGGAATAGGTTGTAGACCACCCTGTACGCTTTGTCATCCAGTGACATGGGCACTTTGATAAAGTCCACATTGGGATCCATGGGGATCCAGGTCTCTGGGTACATATGCTCACAGTCAGAATTGGTAGCAGCTGGCGAGGGGCTCTCAGGCACAGAGGGGCATGTCTCAAATGACCCAGACAATGTCCTGAAAACACAATTTCCCATTAGCACATGGTCAAACATTGATGCTTGCAATTTCTTCATCCTCCTAGTGATGGGATTAATGGAATTCCAAATAGCGCACCCTTCCGAAACTCCCACTGTATCTCTGTGATGTTGTCCATCTCCCACATTAGGACACACTGTCTGTGGGACACGTGTAAACTTCATACAAAGTGAAAGCATTTTTAAAATTTATTATCTTGTTGGATGTGGGCAGCATTGGCGAGGCTAATATTTGTTGCCCTTTTACTAATTTCCCCTTGAGCTAGATCGCTCATTCGGTTATTTCAGAGGTCAGTTAAGAGTCACATGTAGGCCAGACCAGGTAAGGATGGCAGATTTCCTTCTCTAAAGCATATTAGTGAACCAGATGGGATTTTGTGACAACAAATGATGGTTGTCACGGTCACCATTACCAAGACTAGATTCAATTCCAGATTTATTAATCAAAATCAAAACCAGTTGTACTGGTGGGATTCGAACCTGTGCTCCCAGAGTGTTCACCTGGAGCCTCTAGATTTCCAGCCTAGTGACATCACCACCACGTCACCGCTTGCATATTTGTGATGTCCAGTTTTGATTCTTCTTCATCTCCCCAACTGGGAACACCCTCAGTACATTTACCCTCATGAACCCCATCCCTAACCTCGATCAGGTCACCCCTCAGCTTTTTCATTTATATAAACAGCTCCATTCAACTGTTCCAATCAACAGAGAACTGTACATCACTTCCTTACAAATGGAACATCATCAACAGAAGGTCACTGATGCCAACACTGGCCCAAGGCACTCACTTGAGGTAGGGCAGGAGCGTGACGATTGATTGGAAGAGGGGTCGCTTCCGGATGGTTCTCTTTGTGCCTGAGGTGATGTTCTGCTGGTATCTGGCATTGAGATCCACCTTGTATCGCTGGTTCTGGTTAATCATGAAGTACCTCACCACAAAGCCTTGTCGGAGGGCTTCCTCGAAATACTGGGCAAGTGACTGCAAGGACAACATTCAGAGATTGAGAAGTTGGGAGGGAGAGAAGGTTACACAAAAGAAGAAGTACGAGATCCTGAGCGCAAGCATTGGAAATGCAGTCCTCCTCATAAAGACCGTCTTCCCAACTGCAACGTTGCTGCATTCCCATTAATTATTCTGATTAAAAGGCCAACAATAAGTGACACAGTTTGTGTCCTTGTGTTCACAGTCTTCAATTCACTGTGGAGTTAACACCAGAGAAAGAGAGATACTGTCTCATGCAAACCTGTCTTCATTTTGTGTGGAACTCTTTACTGGGCTATGGCCTCAACAAGATCATCCAACAAAGCAAAAGCCAACCAGTGTCCCTTGATGTTCACTTATGGGCCTGTACAGCACAGAAAGAGCATTCGTCCCATCACTGCTGTGACAGTCAACAAAGATCTGACTGCACGAATTCCATTTTCCAGCTTTGGCCCGTAGCACCGCAGGCCAAGGCAACACAAGGGAATATCTAAAAACAGTTTAAATGTGACAAGAGTTTCTGATTCAACCACTCTTTCAGGCAGGGAGTGACTCCCGCCACCCTCTGGGTAAAAGAATTGCTCCTCAACTCCCCTCTTAGTTTTCTACACCTCAACTCTGTGCTGCCTGGTTATTGACCCCAACACGAATGGAAAAAGGGCCTTTTGTATCCAGCCGCTCAATCCTGTACACCTCTGTCAGTTTCCCATTCAATCTTCTCCACTCCAAAGAAAAGAACTCCAGCTTATCCATTAATTATTCAGAGCTCAGACCTCTAGCCTAGGCAACATCATGGTAAATCTCCTCTCTGTACCCTCTATAGAGCAATCACACTCTTCCTATAACATGGTGACCAGAACCGCACACAATACTCCAGTTGTGGCCTAACCAGCACTTTATTCAGGTCAAACTTAACGTCCTTGCTCTTGTATCCTATGCCTCAGCTAATGAAAGCAAGTATCCCATTTTCCTTCTTAACCACCTTAACTACTGGTCCTGCTATCCTCAGGGAGATTCTCCAGCATCTGCACTTCCTACTATCTATGGATATACACATCAAGGTCCCTTTAATCTTCAGGGTCGTGCCATTCACAATGTAACCCGTTGTTAGCCTTTTCCCCAAGTATATTGCCTCATATCTTGCCCCTTTAGAACCCCACAGGAAACATACTTTCAGTTACAGAAACATCCCTCTACTATCACCCTCTTCTTCCTGTCTCTCAGCCAGTTTTGCATCCAATGTGCCACTTTGCTTTAGATCCCATGGGGTCTTACTTTCTTGACCAGTCTGTCATGACCTTTTCAAAAGACTTGCTAAAGTCCACATAGACTCATCCAATGCACAAGTTTCAATCCTTCTGGTTACATCCTCAAATCCTTTGATCAAATTTATCAAACTTTTCTTCAGAATGGCAATGTTCAATGGCATTAGATTTACTGAAACCCTTTTGTCCTAGGAGTTACCATTGACCACAAACTGAACTGGACTAGCCATGTAAATAAAAATGATTACTAGAGCAGGTCAGAGGCTAGGAATCCTGCAGCAGGTAACCTACCCTCTAACTACCCAGAGTCTGTCCATCATCTACAAGGCACAATGTGATGGAATACACCCCACTTGCCTGGATGTTGTAGCTCCAACAACACATCCACGTCCACCACCTTCAACATTCTTTTCCTTCATCACTGACTCATAGTTGTAACAGTGTGTATCATCTACAAGATGCACTGTAGCAACTAATCAAGGCTCTTTAGACAGCACTCTACAAACCCGTGACCTCTACCATCCAGAAGAGAAGAGCTGCAAATACATTGGAATATCATCCCCTGTAATGTCCCACCTGAACCATACATCATCCAGACTTGGAAATACATCGACATTTCTTCAGTGGGTCAAAATCTTGGAACTCCCTCCCTACTGGCATAGTGGGTGTGTCCCCACATCCTGAGACCTGCAGCAGTTCAAGAAGGCAGCTCACCACTACAATTAGGGATGGGCAATAAATGCTGGCCCAGTACCTAAATCCAGTAAGAAAAACAAATAGAACTGTGAGCTGTCTGGTTGGCCGCTGGTTTTGCTAGACTGTCTATGAATCGCCAGGCTATTGTTTAAAATGCATTTCTGGGTGTGTGTATCATTTCGTTGTCAACGTGCATTGCTAAAATGTCACTGCATTGTCCCCGACATAGCCTGATATTGGCAGTGAGGAACCTCGGCTGGTTAACAGTATGGCTGCCTTGTGAACTCTCCCTCCACACGTGCAGCAATACAATGCATTGGGGTAGGTTACTCTGACATAAAGGGAGAGACACAGTCCTCTCCATACCACACAACTGACTTACTCGATATCCCCAGCACAGGGGTTGAACTTTGTACTTTCTGACTCAGGGACAGGAATGCTATAAGGTGAAACATATTAGTATTCCCTGACACATCCACAGTTAGAATTGTCCTGGCGTTTCCTGGGATGAACGATGTACAAAATGATCAGAGGTATAGATAGAGTAGATAGCCAGAGACTTTTTCCTAGGGTGGAGGTAGCTATTATGAGGGGACATAATTTTAAAGTGAAAGGAGGTAGATATCGGGGAGACGTCAGAGGTAGGTTCTTTACTCAGGGAGTGGTAGGGGCATGGAATGCATTGCCGGAGAGGGTAGTGAAGTCGGCCTCATTAGGGGCATTTAAGCAGCTATTAGATAGGCATATGGATGATAGAATAGGGTAGGGGTGGGGGATAGTTAGACGTTAGGTTTCGGGTAAAAGTTTGGCACAACATCACGGGCCAAAGGGCCTGTACTGTGCTGGACTGTTCTATGTTCTATGAATGCAAATTCCACTCTGCACTCATTCCCACAACCATGACATTTTTCAGACATCCCCCATCCAACATTTCAAATAAAAGGATAGGTTGCCTCTTTGCACTGAGTGGAAGGGGCACTGCATTTTAAATCTCCACTTTACCAGTGGGAATAGGTTGGAGCAGACAGGACAACATTTTGCTGGCATAATTCCCCAGGCAGACATCCATATTTAAACCAAATTACTGCATATGTTTGTGACACAGTTTATTCCTCTGAGGAGGTGATGTGAAAGTGTGACATCTCCCTCTCTTTTATACCAATTGGAAAAGTATATTTAAGACCTGACCAAGGTCTTGTTCACTTGATTTCCAAACAGCTCTGTTAAATCTCTCCTGAACCTTCTCTGCTGTAAGGGCCAGCTCACTCCCAGTGCAGTGCTCTGACCCTCTTCAAGACTAGTTTGACCTTTGACAGCAATTCCCACCTTCCGACCTGGTAATGTCGTAGAGCGCTACCTGGGGGTATTCCTTCCACTCGAATGTGTCCCTCCAGTAGTATCTCCAGGTTGTGCGGAAGATGTCAGAGGGGTCAATGTCCGAGGTGCTGAGCCGCCTTAACTCGTCAAACGTCTCGTTCTGAATGGTCATTTGGTCAAAGTCTGCAGTGAAACTCCGATCCCTGAGGTGAAAAGCAAAGTGACCATGAAGCCAGACTCCACCCACAATTTCTTAGGCCTTATTAACCCTGTAAGCAGGCCTTAACTCTATGGATGAGGCTTATTAATCCAATAGACAGGCCTTAGGCAATATTAGCCATATCGACAAGGCAGATGTAGACAACCTCTATACGTAGAAATGGACAAGCCTTATTAAGCCTATAGGCTGCCCTTAAACCATATTAACCCTATAGACAAGACTTATAAACCCTTGAGATCGGCTTTATTAGCCATATACACAAGACTTACCAAACATGAGTCGGCCTTATTAATCCCATGTTTAGAAGAGCGTTTTTAACCCTATAGACAGATTTTATTAATTATATACACAATATTTATTAAACCTGGATAGGCCTTATTTAGTGTATTGACAATACTTATTAACCCTATTGATAGGCTTTAAGTAACTAAGTACGCAAGACTTATCAAACATGGATAGGCCTTATAACCTGATGGACAAGTTTTAATAAGTCTTGTTTGTAGGTTTAATAAGAGTTTTTAATTGTATAGACAGACCTTACTGAACTTGCTGCTACCTATAGGTCACACACCCTTTTCCTGTATCCCTGAAGTCCCACTCAGGACACCAACACGAGTTTGTTAGATATGACTATTGGTCCTTCATTGCCACTGGGTCAAATTCCTAGAACTCTTCAGCCTACAGTGCAGGACACCCAACAACACCACACAGACCACAGTCATTCACTTTAGTACCTCCAAAATACAAAAGGGATAGATGAGGTAAATGCAGGCAAAATGTTTCCCTTGGTTGGGGAGTTCTGAACCAGGGGCACCACTTAAAATTAAGGGGACATCATTTAGGAGTGAGACAAGGAGAATTTGTTTTTACTCAGAGGGTTGGGAATCTTTGGAATTGTCTCCTGCTGAAGCTTATGGAAGCTCAGTCTTTGAATGTGTTTAAGGTAGAGGTTGAAAGATTTCTGATACCCGGGGCGTACATGGTTGTGGGGATGGGGTAAGTAAAAGGCATTGAATTGTTCAATCAGCCATGATCGTATTGAATAACAGAGCAGGTTTGATGGGCTGAATGGCCTACTCCTGTCCGTATATTCCTGCTAGAATGACTGGTTTCTTGATGCTTTTCTGTTTTCTCTAGCAGAGGTTCTTCCCAGCACGAAGTTGAGTCTGACTATTCCAGAATTCCCTCGATACTTTCTGTCTCCCTTCTTAAATAAAAGTATCAGATTAGTTATCTAACAGTGCTCTGGAAACACACCTTTTTCTAAAAAATTATTAAACAGTGTCTCTATCTCCTATCTCTGGATTATTTTAAGAAGAGCAGTGGAAACCATCCTCCACTGCTTGATTTTTTAAATTTTAATATTTCTCTTTTATTTTTAAATGCAATTATATCATTTCTAATCTCACCTTCTAGTGTCAAGTCCACCTCATCTCTCTCTTCTGGTAGGTACTGAAGCAAAAGCTATTTTGCCACCTCACTATCACAGCCCCATGACTGTATCCTGTCCATTCCTGACTGGCCCACCTTCCCTGTCAATTTTCCTATTTCTTTACAAATTGATATGTGATGAGGTTGAAGATCTGCCATGATCCAATTGAATGGAGAAGCAAGGAATGAGGGCCAAATGGCCTACTCCTAGTCTTGGCCTCCTGTCAAGGTCCAAAGCTAGAATGAAGGAGCCAAATGGCCTGTCTTACTCCTGGCCTTAATGTCCACCCTGAGCAGGGATTTATAATTGAATGTCCTGCTCTTAACTCTGGCCTTTTGGTAAGGTCTCCTACTACATCGAAGGATAAGAAGGACTGGCAATAAATGCTGGCCTCGTTAGCAATCCACATCCCAAAATAGTATCCTTTCTTAAAACAACAGTACAACGACAATTGGTTGCTGGAAAGGGAATGAGGTGGTGAGAAGAAGGGTCAATTCCTTGTTTGCATTGATTAGTCACCATCTCAAACTGTTTACTGTGATTGACCCTGTCTCCTGAACTCCAACAGGGCCATGCCACTGTAGGCCAAATGGCCAGAAAATTGAAAGGTAGCAGGACATTGCAGGTTGTCAGGAAATAGCTGCAATCCTTCACCATATGAACAGAGTACAAAAGAAACAGGAAGTTACTGCAAGCTCTTAAGAAAACACTTAGCTCAGCGTCAATCGGAGGACTGGGGCCAATTGAAGGGCCTGCACTTCATAGAGAGTGTCATGGCCCTGGAGAGGGTGAGGAGGAGCATTTAACAGAATGGGACTGGGCAAAGAAACAGAGGTTAGGCTGAAAAATATAAAACACCAGTCGGACCACAACCTGAGCGTTATTCCCTGCTGTAGTTACCTCATCATAGAAAAGATGGCATTGCACAGGAGAGGATTATAGAGGAGATGTACAAGGAGGTTCCGGGATTGGAAAAATGCAGGAAATGTGAGGTAAGACTGGGTAGGCTGAGGTTGTTCTTTGAACAGAGGAGGCTGACGGGAGATTTAATTGAGATGTACAATACTAATACTGGGGGGGCAGGCATTTGAGGTGAAAGGGGGAAAGTTCAAAGGAGATGTGAGGGACAAGTTTTTTTTACTCAGAGAATGGTGGGAGTCTGGAACATGCTGCCAGGGGTAGTGGTGGAGGCAGATACGACAGGAGGGGTCTAAGGGGCTTTTAGAATATACAAGGAATGGAGGGATATGGACCAAGGGCAGGCAGAAGGGATTAGTTTAATTTGGTCAGAGATAGTAAGAACTGCTGATGCTGGAGTCAGAGATAACAAGGTATGGAGCTGGATGAACACAGCAGGCCAGGCAGCATCAGAGGAACAGGAAAGCTGACATTTCGGGTCTGGACCCTTCTTCAGAAATGGGGGAGGGGAAGGGGACTCTGAAATAAATAGAGAGGGGCGAGGCGATGATGGAAGGTGGATTAAGGAGCAGATAGGTGGAGAAGATGGACAGGTCAAGGAGGCGGGGATGGAGCCAGAAAAGATGAGTGTAGTTAGGAAGTTGGGATAGGGTTGGTCAGTTGGGAGGGAGGGGCGGGTAGGTGGGAGGGAAGACGGACAGGTCGAGGAGACGAGGATGAGGCTAATAGGTAGGAAGTTGGGATAGGGGTTGGTCAGTGAGGTGGGGGGAGCGGATAGGTGGGAGAAAAGACGGACAGGTCAAGGAGGCAGAGACGAGATGGGCTGGTTTTGGGATGAGGTGGGGGACGGGGAGATTTTGAAGCTTGTGAAGTCCACATTGAGACCATTGGGCTGCAGGGTTCCCAAGCGGAATATGAGGTGCTGTTCCTGCAGCCTTTGGGTGGCATCGTTGTGGCACTGGAGGAGGCCCAGGATGGAAATGTCGTCCAAGGAGTGGGAGAGGGAGTTGGAGTGGGATTTGGTGTCATGTTCGACACAACATTGTGGGCAGAAGGGCCCATTCCTGTGCTGTATTGTTCTTGTGTTCTACAAATTGTAAGGGGGCCTGGATAAAGGGAATGACTATTACCTTCAGGCCAGAAAGGTCAGTGACCGAGGGGGCATAGATTGAAGGGGATTGGTAGAAGGATTGGAGGGGAAGTGAAATATTTCTTCACCTAGAGGGTTGTCAGGGTCTGGAACCTGCTGCCTGAAAGTGTGGCAGAGGCTGAAACCCACCCAAAAGGTGCTGGCAGCTACATCTGAACTCCTCGATCTCCAAGACCACACACTGTGCTGGAAAACAGGGTTAGCCTGGTAGGCTCGATTGCTGCTCAGGACAGATACCGTGTGCAGAGAGTGGCCTCCTGCTGTGCTGTACATTTTTCCACTCAGAAGAGGAGGAATGGGGAGGAGGGCAGGGAAGGGACAGGAAGAGAATTACTCCAGAGGATGAACATGATGGGCCAAATGGCCTTCCCGCCTGATGTAACAGTTCTATGAGGGCTATCAGTGAATGTGAAAAGACTGAAGAGACTGGGGTTGTTCCCCACGGAGCAGGGAAGGTTAAAGGATGAGATTTGCAAACCAGCCCTCCATCCGTTGACTCCATCTATACTTCCTGCTGCCTTGGGAAAGCAACCAACATCATCACAGACCCCTCCCACTCCGGTTATGCTCTCTTCCACCCTGTTCTGCCAGGCAGAAGGTATAAAAGTTTGAATATATGCATCAACAGATTCAAGAACAGCTTCTGCCCTGATGTTATTAGATTTTTGAATGGACATCTCAAATGTTAATTCTGATCTTTCTCTCTGCACCTTCACTGCAGCTGTAAACACTGCATTCTGCACTCTACTCTGCTACCCTAAAGCACTTTGTATCCATCTGCCTGTATAGCATGAAAAGAACACTTTTCACTGTATCTTGGTACACATGACCATAATAAAATCGATCAATAATTGGGAGCATTCAGTCACATAAATTGAGAGAAACTACTGCCCTCCAACAGGAGAGTAATGTGGATGCTGAATATCTGAAATACAAACAGGAAGTGCTGGAGAAACTCAGCAGGCCTGACCATGTCTATGGAGAGACGAAAGTTCTGAGTCTGATATGACTCTTCTTTAGAACTGTTGATGTTGGCAGTGTCAGAGTCCAAAGGCAGGGGGTCAGTCATCAGAGGGAGACAGATCGGGAAGGAACCAGGAGGTGGGCAGAGAGAGCGAGAGATCAGGAGATATTTTATTCCCACAGAGTTGTTGTGATCTGGAACATGCTGTCTGAATGGGTGATGGAGGCAGATTTAATGACAACTTTCAGAAAGGATTTGGAGAAATAATTGAAAGGGAGGAATGTGCAGGGCTGTGCGGATAGCGCAAGTTGGTGATGGGAGGGAGTGGGACTAATTGAAAGTCATTTCAACTCCACCCTTCCCACCACACCCAAACAAATCAGCCTCTAATGTCAATGAAGCATAAAGTCCCAGCAGCATGGTCCTGGCACAGAACTGATTAATCACCTCCGCTGAATTAGCTTGGAAGGGGAATGGGATGAATTCTGTCTGTAAAAGTACTAATCACTGTGGGAGACAAGAGAGAACTGTGGGGAGAGGAACCCACCCTTGGGTGCTCCAAAATCGAGAGCCCATTGATTTGGAGATGCGCTGTTTCACTCAGGGCCCCACCTGTCCCCATGAGAGAAAATTAACTATTCTAAATTGAGCTGCAATATTCTCCCTAGAATCTTGGGTCCAATATTTACTCCCCCTCCCAAAAACCACTAAAATAGACAATCACTGTACTCTCTGTGCAACCTTGAACCTAGAAATGATCTGCTGCTTTTCCTACCACATCGACTACACATCCATTAGCTGTGAAGTGGGTTGAACTGTCCTCAGGTGCTACAGAAATGTAGCTTCTTCCAGTATCTGTATTACCATGAATGGCCAAGAATTCCCAGCATCCAGGTGCTAGTGACCTTCCTACCCTCTTCACTGGCACCTCCAGCTTCCCTCTTTTCCCAACAATCAGCCAGTGGCAGGTTCTGAAAGAGTTCCACAGAGGCTAGTATCCCATCACCAAGTCAAGCTTTGTTTCCACGTGGCGAGACCTTGACACTAATCCAGCTCCCTCAGAGCCAGCTCTCAGAGCGAGCAGAACCCCTGACACTCCTGTTTATATCTGTCATTCAGGACTCCCTGACTGGACCATATTCTATGAGGTCCACCAGGCTGACCTCATTACAATCACTACATCCCTCCCCCTCTGAGTCTGAGGACATTGAAAATAGAACAGTACAGCACAGTACAGGCCCTTCAGCCCATGATGTTGTGCCAACCTATTATCCTACCAAGATCAATCTACCCTGCATACCCTACATTTTACTATCCTCCATGTGCCTATCCAAGAGTCGCTTAAATGTCTCTAAAGTATCTGACTCCCCTACCATTGCCGGCAGCGCATTCCACACGCCCACCACTCTCTGTGTGAAGAACCTACCTCTGACATCTCCCCTATATTTTCCTCCAATTGCTTTAAAATTATGCCCCCTTGTAATAGTCATTTCCGCCCTGGGAAAAAGTCTGTGGCTATCCACTCTATCTATGCCTCTCATCATCTTGTAAACCTCTATCAAGTCACCTCTCATCCTTCTTCGTTGTAATGAGAAAAGCCCTAGCTCCCTCAACCTTTCCTCATAAGACCAGCCCTCCAGTCCAGGCAGCATCCTGGTAAATCTCCTCTGCACCCTCTCTAAAGCTTCCACATCTTTCCTATAATGAGGCAACCAGAACTGAACACAATATTCCAAGTGTGGTCTAACCAGAGTTTTATAGAGCTGCAGACATTGGCTGCTTTTTTTTGTAGCTCTTACTGGGGCATTTTAGCACCAGGTTACGTTCCTCCAACTCTGCCTCTGATACAGATGGTGTGTAGTACACAATAGCTTGTCTCTTGCGCCCGGAGCGTCTTGGAAGAAATTCATTCTCCTCTTCTGCCGGCAAACACATCGAGGCGATGACATCCACTGTGTCCCACACAGATTCCAAGCTATCTTCAACGCTTGACGGAGACAGGGAACCCACAGGAACCAGGACAGTTTGGTACCTAGTGAAGTTGTAGGCTGTTTCCTTAAGCCTTCAAAGTTTGGACTGCTCTTTCTGCCAGATCATTGGATAATGGATGGTGTGCAGCTGTCCTTATATGATGAATAACATTCGACTTCAGGAAATACTCAAAGTCCCTGCTGGTAAATGATGGCCCATTATCTGTGACCAACACGTCTGGAAATCCATGTATTGCAAAAGATACATGCAGATTTTCTGTTGTCATCCCCATGTTTGACGAACGAACGCTATGCATTTCCAGCTGTTTTGAATGATGACCAAGAACTTCAGTGGTAAATCTGTGGAACTCATTGCTGTAGAGGACTGTGGAGGCCAAGTCATTGAGTGTATTTAAGACAGAAACAGACATGTTCCTGATTAGTAAGGGGATCAAAGGTTACAGAGACAAGGCAGGAGTTTAGGGTTGAAAAACATACCAACCATGACTGAATGGCAGAGAAGACTTGATGGGCCAAATGGCCAAATTCTACTCCTATCTCCTATATATATACACTGAGGCAGGCACATGGACACAAGTATGTGCACTCAGACACGTCCAGAGTGAGAGTGCTGCCCATTCCCTTGTCCCACTGTCACTAATCCCAGAAATGCCTTGAAGGAGTCTGCACAGACTGAAAACGCAAGTACGACTGGATATGGGATCCTGGCTTTCGTAAATAGGGAATGAGACGCAACAGCAAGAATTGATGATGAACCTTTGTCAAACAAAGGCCCAACATCAGCTGCAGCACTGTGCCCAGTTCTGGGAGCCACATTTTAGGAAGGGTGTGAAAATATTAGCGAGGGCGTAGAAAATATTCAAGAGAATGGTGCAGGGAAGAGGAGCTTCAGTGATGTGGATAGATATGAGAAGCTGGGACTGTTCTCCTTAGTGAAGAGAAGGTGGAGAGGAGACATCATCAATAGGATTAATATCAGGAGGGGTCTGGACAGAGCTGCAAGGGAGACAGTCTTCCCATTGGAGGGAGGATTGAGAATGAGAGGAACATAGAGTTAAAAGGGTTTGGTAAAAGGAGCAACAGCAACACAGTAACAAATCTCATGCAGTGAGTGGTCAGGATCTGGAGTGAGCCGCCTGAGTGGGGAGTAAAAGAGAGGATTCAATCGAGGAAGAGGAGACTGAAGAGGAACAGAGTGACGCGGGAAAGTTGGCGAGCCAATCTGACAAGCCAGCATGGTGATGACAGGCCAAATGGCCTCTACCTGTGCTTGGGATAGCCCAGTGTCTGAAAGACTCACCTGTAGCGAAGGGTGACCTTCTCTTTGTCAGGGTCACAGTACAACCTTTCCAGCATCTCCTGACCTTCTTCCTGTACACTCTCCCAGTGCTGGGTGGCTGCCCTCCTCATCTGCCAGTGATAGGGCAGGGCCGTGTGGTGGTAAGGACAGCAGTCACCTTCAAGACAACAGCCCACCAGGAAGCGGGAGCAGATGGACACTCCGTTTTCCTGGCGCGTGTGGTACTGTAGCTGGGTCAGGACGTCCAGGAGATGGTCCAGGCTCATTTCGTCCTCTGGGAAAGCTGGGGCCTCACAGCTTGGAGTCCTCCGTCCCAGCGACTCAGCCTCCCTCAGTTCCATCTCCACAGCCTCGGTGGATGGGAGCTCCCAGCCGGGGGACACAGCTGAGGCCTGTCCCAGGAGGTTGGTGGTGGCCTGCAGGTCCAGCGGCTTAGCGGCTGGAGCCAGGCTGTCTAAGCTTGCTAGGCCCGGTGGAGAACCAGTCCTGGTCACCAAGGGAGACGGCTGCACCACGCTCACTCGCTCCTTCTTGATCAGGTGCTTGAGAGTTCGAAGAAGTCTCTCGCTGTCCTTCTTTCTCCTCAGACGGTCCATTGGGTGAGCCTTGACCAGCGAGATCTTGACCAGGGGATCAACATGGGCCCGATCAGCATCGGGCGATGGATCACTGGCCACTGTTCCTGTGTGTCCTGCCATGGCCTCGTGGAAATACCCTTCGAATGAAACACAAACAAAACTCAATAAACAGCAATAATCTGCTCTTAAATAGTATCTTTCATGTAGTAAAACGCCCCAAGGATACCCATAAAACTCCCACCACTCTCTTCAAATATATACTTCATATAATTCAACAAATGTTACAGTGACTCAGTGGTTAGCACTGCTGCCATACAGTAGCAGGGACCCTGGGTTCGATTCCACCTTCGGGCAACTGTCGGTGTGAAGTTTGCACGTTCTCCCCATATCTGCATGAGCCTCCTCCAGGTGCTCCAGTTTCCTCCCACAGTCCAAAGATGTGCAGGTTAGGGTGGATTGGCCATGCTACATTGCCCGTAGTGTCCAGGGATGTGCAGGATAGGTAGGTTAGCCATGGGAAATGCAGGGTTACAGGGATAAGGTGGAGGGTGGGTCTGGGTGGGATGCTCTTCAGAGGGTCGGTGTGGACTTGATGGGCTGAATAGCTTGTTTCCACACTGTAGGGTTTCCATGAAACATGAATTTCTTCTTATAAAACCATCGAAAATTTAAACGGGAGTAAGTCAGTCATACCATTCTGGCATGAACTCATCGAGATCATGGCTGATCCTCCATTCTGACGCTGTACACTCACTTTCTCCATAATCCTCGATACCTTTAACTCCCAGAAATCTACCTCTTTCCTAAATATATTCAGTGACTCGGCCTCCACAGCCTTCTGTGGTCGTGAATACCACAGGTTCACCCCTCTCCAAGTGAAGACATTCCTCCCTATCTCAGTCCGAAACGGCTGACTGTGTATCCTGAGTAAGTGTTCTGGAGACTCCCCCCTCCCCCAGCCTGAGGGAAACATCATCCTCATGTCCAATCTGTCCAGCCCCGTCAGAATCTTAAACCTTTCAATGAGATCCCCTCTCACTCTACTAAATTAATTCATCAATTTGTCTTTGGAATTTAGAGAAGGAATGTAAGCAATAACTCTTCCCTAATTTTCTGAACCCAGTGGCACAGTGCTGCTGCTGACCTAATCCTGATTCAAAACTGAGCCTGGGATCTCTCCCGCCCTGTTTTAATCCAGACACCTTCCACTTATTGTCAGTGAAACCTTTTGAAATAACATGCCATTTGGAGCAGCCTCGCCCTCTCTCGATAACTGCATCCTAATAACATCAGCCAATTCACAAGAACCAAACCTGTTTAGCAGTGACCTCACTACAAACCAATTACAGATAGAGAGAGAGAGGCAGAGAGAGAGAGAGAGAAAGAGAGAAGAGAGAGATAAAGAAAGGAAACTATTGAAGGTGTGATTCATGCCCAAAGTGAGGTTTCTCTTATGCAACACCATGCCATTGGGTTCTGTCTGCAAGTCTGGGAGTCAAAACCCTTTCTCCCTCACCCCCCACAACATATGCCTGTCAAACCCCTCCTGGGTAATAACACCTAACAAAACCCCTCTAAGACAATTTCCCCAATTCCTCTCAGACAGTGTACCTTCCATTACTCCCTCTCAGATAATAGGCCTCCTAATACCTGTTTTAGGTAACATACCTCCCAATACCCCTCTTAGACAATTCCACCAATAACCCTCTCCGAAAATTTCCCTCCCAGATAATATCCATCCTAACATCCCTCTCAGGCAATACCTTCAATACTCTTCCCAGATAATAACCCTCCCAATAAGATGACAGATGATCATAGAATCATACAGTACAGAGAAGACGCTTCAGCCCATCAAAAACGTCCTATTACCTACACTAGTCCCACTTTCCCACACTAGGCCCATAGCATTGAATGTTTTGACACTTCAAGTGTTTATCCAAGTACTTTATAAAGATTGTGAGGTTTTTCCGCTTCCACTACCCTCCCAGGTCCCCAGATCCCAGGTACTCCAGATCCCCACCAGCTTCTGGGTCAAAAGGTTTTCCTCAAATCCCCTCCAAACCACCTGCCTTTCACCTTAAAATCATGACCCCTTATTACTGACCTTTTGACTAAGGGGAACTGCTGCTTTCTAGTCACTCTGTCCACACCACACACAATAACCTTCCCAATGCTCGTCTTAAATAACACCCCTCCCAAACAACTGCCCTAGCTCTGGTCCTGCCTCTCTCGGAGGAGAGTCTCATGTTGTATCATTCTAAAGAGAAAGGAATCCAGTTTTGTTTCGATTGAGGAAATCCTGTTAGACAGAGAATCTAACAAGACTGATGACTCAGAGAGTGGAGTTCAGTGAATCAGCAGTGAGCTGGGATATACAGGGGGCAAACATAGTCTTCAATCCTCCCTTCTCATAACCCGTAGTGACCTTCTAAATAAACCCCTCTGTCTCTCTCCTCCCCGTCTCTATCTCTCTGTCTGTCTTCCTCTCTGTCTCTTGTCTGTCTTTCTGCTTTTCTTTGTCTCTCTCCTTCCCTCTGTCTCTCTCTCGCCCCATCTCCTTTACCCCTGCCTCAAGTTTCCCTCCTCCACTAATACTCTCACCTTTTCTCTTCTGATGAGGTCTCATCCCCCAACCACCCCCCCACTCTCTCACTATCAAAATTCTCCCTCCCCGTCCGTCTCTCTGCCCTTGCCTCTCTCTCTCCTTTGTTCCTCTCTCTCTCACCTGTCTTGCTGTCTGTCTCCGATCTCCAGGTGAACTGGGACAGTCTCTTTCTCTGTATGTCTGTCTGTCTGTCGGAGCCGGGCTAGGCTTCCTCCTCCTCCGGAGCTCCTGCTCCGTCCCTCTTGCTGGGTGCCCGGGGAAGATCAGCCCTTTCCTGGAGCCTTGGTCTCGGCCTCCAAGCGGTTTTATATCGAGACGAGACAGAGTCTCCGCCTCCTGGAGATTTCACAGTGAAACCGAGAACAGTTCATTGTCAAAGCGACAGTACCTCCGCACGCTCACAGCTCCCACTTACCCCCCGGGCAGTTTACCCCCTCACAATACCCCCCCCCCCACCGCCCCGCCCCCCCCCACCCCCCCGCGCACACTCCCCCCCCAACTCACCCCCTTTGGGCAGTTTACCCCTTCATAGCTACCCCCTGGGCAGTTTACCCCCTCACAGATACCCCCTCACTGACAGCCCAGCTCTCACAGATACCCCTGGGCAGATTACCCCTTCACAGATATACCCTGGGCAGTTTACCCCTTCACAGATATCCCCTGGGCAGTTTACCTCTTCACAGATATCCCTCCCTGATATTCCCCACATCTGACACATGCCAGACAGATATCCCTTACAGATGCCTCCTAGACATATATCCCCTGCACAGATAGCCCATACTTCCCTATGCTAACTTTCATTGTACCCCCTAGACTGAATACCCCTCACAGAGGGTGGGGCGATGGCTGGTGGTATTATCCCTAGACTGTTAATCCAGAGACCCAGGTAATGTTCTGGGGCCCAGGTTTGAATCCTGCCATGGCAGGATGGTGGAATTTGAATTCAATAAACATCTGGAATCAAGAATCTAATCCATTGTCAAATGTTGGGGAAAACTCATCTGGTTCATTAATGTCCTTCAGGGAAGGAAACTCTCATCCTTACCTGGTCTGGCCGACATGTGACCTATTGTAATGTGGTTGCTCTTAACTAACCTCTGGCCAATTAGGAAGGGGCAATAAATGCTGCCTAGCCACCAATGCCCACATCCCATGAATAAACTAACAAAAGAATTGCCTCCTTATCATAGTAACATCGTGATGCCGAACAATTTTGGAGGGTGTTTGGGGAGATTGTGCTACATTGTTGGAGGGTCAATACAGAGGAAGTGCTGCACTGTTGGAAGGTCAGTGCTAGGTGAGCGCCGCACTGTTGGAGGGTCAGTACTGAGGGAGTGCTGCATTGTTGGAGGGTCAATACAGAAGAAGTGCTGCACTGTCGGAAGGTCAGTGCTAGGTGAGTGCCGCACTGTTGGAGGGTCAGTACTGAGGGAATGCTGCATTGTTGGAGGGTCAATGCTGAGGGAGCATTAGACTGTCTGAGGGTCAGTAGTGAGGCAGTGATGCGCTGTCAGGGGATCAGTGCTGGGGGTGTGCCTTACTGTCCCAGGGTCAGTATTGAGGGAGTACCACACTGTTACACAGTCAATACTGACAGAGTGCTGCTGGATCTGTGCCAAATACTAGTTAAGTCACAACTGGATGCATGCTGTATCTGGTCACCACATTAAAGAAAGAATGGAGGGGTGCAGAGAAGATTTATCAGGATGCTGCCTGGGGTGGGGTGTTCTGAGCTATCGGGAACGACAAATGACCACCTCCAGCAATGGTTCCACCTTCGAGAAACTGTAGCCACGCAGGACTGGCCAGGGATCAGGAAGTGAATGGAGAGTGAATGGAAACCTTTGTCAATCACTGGTTCAGCCCAAGCCAAAGGCTGTGTCCCAGTACCAGGACGGAAATTGCCTAACAGCGCAGTGGAAGTGGATTCAATTCAATCATAACTGCAGAGGAAGTGGTGGGAGATCCCTGTGGAAATAATAAGAAGGGGAGTAGGCCTAATTGGATCGCACTGTTCAAAGAGCCAGTACTGCTACCACAGGCAGAATGGCCTCCTCCTGTTCTGGGAGATTTGAAGCAACAAGACACTGATTAAAAACAAATATGGAATAGCATCAAAACAGATGATTCAGAACCTGAAAAGGATCTCCAGGAAGTTTCACATGTCTTTTTAACCACTCACAGCCCAGGGTCAGTCCTGTTTTTAGTTCTGATTTATTTTCAGTTTTGTGTGAGCTCACGTCAAAAAGGAACCTGCCAAATTGCGATTGAAAATGCTCTTGCCCAGTGTGCAGTTCCTGGTGGCAGGTAGATTGGATCAGCTAGTCAGCTAGAAAAGCCATCATGCTCGCAGCCAGCTCTGCCCTCACCTGCTCCAGAGGCAGCAGGGTGATTTCTCTCAGGGAGAACCTTGGGGCACATGTGCCTCTTTGACCCCACCTGAGGGACAATGAAGCAAAATACAGTTCCAGCTCATCCCCCAAACTTCTCCCACCAAAACTGCAGAAAACCATCAGAAAAAAAGCACAGATTGGACTCAAACATTTTTGACTGTGGCTCTGAGGACAACTGCAGACTATCCATTGGTATCACGAGACATTCTGCCAGCCCCGGGAGTGTTTGATGGGGGATGGTGTAGAGGACGCTTTACTCTGTATCTAACCCCGTGCTGTCCCTGTCTTGGGAGTGTTTGATGGGGTACAGTATAGAGGGAGCTTTACTCTGTATCTAACCCCTTGTGTCCCTGTCCTGGGAGTCTTTAATGGGAACAGTGTAGAGAGTGCTTTACTCTGTATCTAACCTCGTGCTGTCCCTGTCCTGGCAGTTTTTAAAAGGGGGACGGTGTAGAGGAAGCTATACTCTGTATCTTAGCCTGTGCTGTCCCTGTCATAGGAGTGTTTGATGGGGGAACAGTGTAGAGGGAGCTTTACTCTATATCTAAGCCTGTGCTGTCCCTGTCCTGGGAGTGTTTGATGGGGACAGTGTAGACGGAGCTTTACTCTGTATCTAACCCCGTGCTGTCCCTGTCCTGGGAGTGTTTGATAGGGGAATGGTGTAGAGGGAGCTTTACTCTGTATCTAACCCCATGCTGACCCTGTCTTGAGAGTGTTTGCTGTCCTGTCCTGCGAGTGTTTGATAGGGGAATGGTGTAAGAGAGAGCTTTACTCTGTATCTAATCCTGAGCTATCCCTGTCCAGGGAGTGTCTGATAGGGTCTGATTAACTATGACCCACCCTGCCATCCTGAGTGAACCCACACAGGTCAGTGATATTGTTGAATTGGTGTGTGGTCTATTTTGTTGTCTCAGCAAAAGAGTTGGCGGCTGGTCCTGTTTGCCTCCTGGGGCCCTGGGACAGGAGTAGAAAGGGAGGAATGTTTCCCACAATTGCTTGTCCTTGGGCATTAACTTCACCCTGAGACAGTTACCCAATGGCAGTCTGCTGAGGTGTGGGGGAGGGGCAAGTTATTTTGGTCGGGGGGGGTGAAGGTGAGAAGTTGGGGGGTGGGTGCGGAGTAAGAGGGGCGTCTCCTAAGGAGAAGATCGCTCCCCCAGACCCTCTCAATTGCAAACCTGAGCGCTCAGCGCTTGAATGAACAAACTACATTTA